CTGCTGAACTCTATTCTGAATATAGTTCAAAACGCAGACTACTGGAAGGAAGGACCATATGAGCACGATTCTTAGTTTTTGCTTCTAACTCCATCGTTTGGTTGTAGTAACCTATATTGATTGGTCGAGAAAGCAACTGATTTTTTCACCAATTTGTCTGTTCCTTACTGTGTTCAGGATGAGAAACCATCTTTTTCACATTCGCTGGAGGAGTCAGGCTTCATAAAGGATTTTCGGTGGACAAAGAAAGAGAAACATACTTATGTTGTTCTTTTTAACCAAGGGAAGCTTTATCATGGAGTTGATAATAAACCCCCTAGACATGTTATGGATGGTGTTGATGCCGGTGAGTTTCATTTTTATTCTGCTGTTTATTATGCTAATCATTCTGCTGTCTAATCGTTGTTTCCCACGTGCTTTCGTTGCTTGTGTCAGTCGAATGGAGTTCGAAAGGAAGTTTTATTGCCGTGGCCAAAGATAACAACCTTCAGATTTTTTCATCAAAGTTTAACGAGAAGCTTTGTATATCTCTGTCATTTGATACCTGGGTCAGTGATTCTGGTTCAAACTGTGCCGTAAAAGGTATCTGGCATGCTATAGTCTTCTTATGTCCTGCCAATAATATTCTTTTTACTCCCCAGTCCCACGTTTGTTGTATTTGTTCATTCAAGTCCCTTCAATGTTGATTTATGTCTTCCAAATTAATTCTCATTTGCCGATGGTTTTCTGCATCAGTCGATTCTATCATGTGGGTACGACGCGATTGTATCATTCTCGGGTGCTTGCAGTTGATTGATGGTAGGGAAGAAAATTACCTTGTTCAAGTCATCAGAAATCCAGATGGAAAGATTACTGATGTTAGTAGCATTCTTTTAAATTGATCTTGTTACAGTTCGCCGTGAAGCTGTACTTTTAGTGTCTTCAGAATGGTACCAAGTTTGGCTATACTTGTTAAAGATGTCTGTTTGACATTGTTTCTGAATTCATTCTCTGCAGAGTTCATCCAACCCGGTTGCTTTGTCCTTCAATGATTTGTTTCCCTGTCTGATGGATGATGTGGTTCCTGTTGGCATTGGACCTCATTTGTTCTTCAGCTACGTAGAACAAGGGTATTTTATTCTAATTTGATTTTGATCAAATTTTCAGTGTTTAAGTTGTCACACATCGCCTTATCTTAACTGCCAACCTTTCCTTACAGAGGAAGTCATCTGTCTATTTGGCCCATTATGGATAAATTATCTGGTCTCTGATATATTTAGAGAAGAAAAGAAATAAATACAATCTCATATTTTTCTTCCATATCTAAACATCTAGACGTATATGTATTGCTGATAACTGATGCTCTTCCACTGTTAGAAAATTATATCAGTAATTAGAAAAACTGATGCAACTAATGTTCTTATTGTGCTATATAGCGTGAGCTTGCTTCTTTCCATCATATTCTTCTCTAACTGCAACATAATAGAATCACATACTTCTTTAATTGTTTCTGATATCAGTTCTTTGGCTAACATATGTTTGCCTTGCCTTCAGTGCCATTATTTTCAGTGTGGTTGATGAGCGTAGCTAATGCATCGCTTTTGTTTTTGTCTTGTTTTTCCTCTTCGGCCATTTCATGAATGTAATTGCAGCAAATTTGCAGTTACAGCAAACAGAAAGAATACAGATGAGCATATAAAGTTGCTTATCTGGTCACCTGGAGATGATTTAAGCGCAGTTGCTGTTGTAGATATTGAACGAGACACTTTTTTGCCAAGGATTGGGCTCCAAGGTATGTACACAGAATCCAGATTTGTTGACATTAATATATGTGAGCTTTTCCGCAGGATTTAATGGTGTTAGTGGAAAAAAATCCAATTCTCTTTCCAGAAAACGGAGACGATAATATGATAATGGGACTATGTATCGATAAAGTTTCCATTGAGGGGACTGTTAAAGTGCACCTTGGAGTTGATGAGCAGAAAGAACTCGCCCCTTATTGCATTCTTATGTGCCTTACTTTGGAGGGAAAACTGGTCATGTTCAATGTTGCTAGGTAGCTACTATTTCTCATTGTGGCTCAAAGTTTGAACTGGTTTAAAAATTACTAAATTGAGTTTCATTACAGTACTGCAGGAGCTTCAGCTTCATCAGATGTTGATCTGGCCTCTTCTTCTGACAGTGAAGATGCTTGCGCGCTTCCAATTGAAGTTGGTCAAATGAAACAATCTTCTAAATCAGAAGTACAAACAGGAGAACTAAAAGTTCTTGCACTTAAGGAAGATAGACATCTCGATTCCGAGAATTCAGTCTCAATTTTCTTAACCGAACAAAGTTTCCAGAACAAATTTTCAAGAAAGCCGGAAATTGAACCTGTGAGAAGTACAGTGCCTTCCGAAACAAGTGAGCAACAAAAAGTTCATGCTGGAAAGCCATTACTAGTATCAGAAGGTCAAAAAATAGTGTTTTCTAGGGAGTTGGGAGCAGGTTTTGGGAAAACACCGTCGAACCTAGGAGATGGTGCCCAAAAATTTCCAGGGTTTGGATCTGTGGCTCCTTTTCCAGACATGCTTCAGAAGGATATTTCTGACCAGAATAAGTTTAGGGATTTGCAGGCGAATTTTAAGCCACCAAAAAGTAGTACAACTCTTTTTAGTTCTACTAGTCTGCAGAATGCTACATTTTCACCACCACAAAGTGCTCCAGCTCAACCGTGGTCGACTGGGAATGGCTTCTCACTTCAGGGTTTTGGTTCTAAATCTCCTTTTTCATTTGCTAATGATACTCCGCAGAAACATCCTGAGAAAGCTGGATCTGTTTATGTAAATCCTCCTGGGAGCATCAGTGACAAAGCTGTTCAAAGAAAAGAGATTGCTACTGTGTCTGCTTTCGTCAATGTTTCTCTTCTACCAGCTCAGAATCAGGATTCTGTGGAAGGGGCAGAAAAAATCGAGCCATTACCTTCGATCCACACCTCTCAGCTATCATCACAAGTCAACTCTTCCTTCGAGAAGTCCTCTACTCATCAGCTGCACAGAAATTTGCCCCAGGCAGGGGCATCCAAATCTGAACCAAATTTATCAAAGCAATTCAGTAATGTAATGTCTATTCATCTGAAATTTATGCTCTTCTACTCACACCCTAGCCTTATATTTCACATGCCGTATTGTTTATTTGGTCTGTTCATCTTGTGTGTAGATTAATGAAATGGCCAGAGAATTAGATATGCTTTTACAGTGTATAGAAGGACCAGGTGGTTTCAAGGATTCTTGCACTATTTTGCCGAAAGATTCGGTTGAAAAACTGGAGCAGGGACTTGAAAACCTAGCTGAAGAGTGCCAGACATGGAAGGTGTAATTTGTCATTATTTTGTTTATTATCACTCTTCAGATTAGTTTGAGATTCTTCAATATTGGCCAGATCATTTATTTTTTCACAAAACTGATATGATCACTGGGCCTTTGGTCTGTGTTGTTAATTTCAATTCTTCTGCAGAACGTAACTGATAAGCAGCTGGCCGAGATCCAACATCTCCTTGACAGAACTGTTCAAGGTAATCTATTCGATAAATCACATGTCTGCCTATCACCTACAAACAATGGAAGTAGTTACAGCCCAATGCTTTTTTTCAAGCCTTCCTAAGGCACAACAGGATAGATAAGAATCTTCTTGGCTGAACAGGAGGGAACCAACCCGAGAGAGAATATCTCAGACATTTATTGTCAATATTTATTTGCTTCTCTAGTATCTTATCATTCTCATCTTTTCAGTTTTGGCAAGGAAGACATACATGGAAGGTATCGTTAAGCAAACTTCTGATAAACAATACTGGGAACTCTGGAACCGCCAGAAGTTGAATCCTGAACTTGAGGCTAAGCGACAATATATAATGACACTAAATAAGGTTGTGTATGGTTCATATATCTTATTCTCAATCTTATCAATACAAAATCATGTTTAACATTTTTCTTCCACTTATCAATCCAGGATTTGACTCATCAGCTGATTGAACTAGAGAGACATTTTAATCGGCTTGAACTTGATAGCTACCATGAGGACAGTGGACTTCACATGGCTAAAAGAGCAACATCCAATAAGTTTGGCCCTTCCAGGTATGTTGTAGATTAATTGGAAATTTGATGGAAACCTGTATGGTAAACATGTATAATAAGTTAGTCATTACCTTCAATATTTAATCACCATCTACGTTTTCTGCAGGCGCATGCAGTCCCTGCTCAGTCTTCGTAATACGATGAGTTCCCAGTTGGCAGCAGCCGAGCAACTCTCCGAGTGTCTTTCTAAACAAATGTCATTTCTGAGAATAGATTCACCTGTAAAAAAGAATGTTAAGCAGGAGTTGTTTGAGACAATTGGTATCCCTTATGATGCCTCTTTCAGTTCACCCGATGCTGCAAAAGCTAAAGATGCATCTTCAGTAAAGAATCTATTGCTTTCTTCTGGTTCTGCAAGTGTTAAAGTACAGTCAAGTAGGCGTCAATCATCTGCTATGAAAAGTTCCATCTCAGAAACGGCTAGGAGGAGAGACTCATTAGACAGGGTAATCATTAGGAACAGCTTCTAGTTTAATACAGCTACTTATTATGCTCATTGTTCTGCTTTTGTTATGTTCTGGTATTTAGCTAAAATTTTAAGGAGACTGAATATGTGCGTTTTTACTTTGTAATATACCTCATACCTGTCTATGCTTATATCATTTGGTGCAGAGTTGGGCGTCATTTGAGCCTACAAAAACAACTGTGAAAAGGATGCTTTTGGCGAAACAACAGAAGACATCCTTAAACGAACAGACTTTTGAGAGACAAGGGCAATCACTGCTTCGCCTGAAAGATCATGCATCACCTTTATTCCCCTTGAACAAAGGTAGCTACACTTAATTGTGGAATCCAATTGTTTTGGATTGGATCTTGCCCCTCTTTTCTCTCTTGTTTCTTGTTCTTTTTTCCCCTTCTCTTCTCCTGCTATGTTGTCTGATGCTACTTATTTGCTTGTGCAATCGCTTTCTACAGGTATTCAGGAATCATTGCCACATGAGATTTCTGAAACTCAATCAATCCGATTCAGATGGGCCAATGGCCCCTCCGAACAGTCAAGCCCCTTGGTCTCGAGACCACCTTTGCCACAAGCTGGCAGTCCATTCCCGCCATCTTCTACCTCTGGGTTGAAGCCAGGTCTCAATTTTTCTGATGCCAAGTCAAGTAGTATGCCTTCTCATGCCGAGAAAGCTGCCCCCCAGCTCATCAAGGATAGTAAGGCAATTTCACAGTCAGGATCAGACATGATGCTCAAACCATTTACTTCCCCGGTTGTTTCTGCACGGATGGCAAAGAAAACTGATGAACTTAAATTTTCTGAAGGGAAACCTAATGCATTTGCAGGTGCAGCTACCGGAAGAATTCAGCCGCTTATGGGAACCTCAACGAGCCCTGCTACGGATCCTAGCAAAGGTTTTGGTTCTCAAGTGTCTCCCATGTCAACTGGAGCTACTTTTCCTGGAAAATCTCCATTAGGATTTCCTACTAGTAGCGGTATTTTTGGTGATATATTGAAAATTCCTGCGACAACTGTATCCGTTTCAGCTCCACCAGCATCTAGCTTGGCAGTAGCTTCCATGGCAACCATTTCCAGTCCATCATCAACTCTAGTGAGGGTATCTCCAATTTCATCTTCTACACAAGTTTCAGGTTTGTCAACTCTGATCATTTTGTCTTTTTTTATTTCATTTGTCACAATCTTCTCAACTATAGCAACATTGCTATATGCACAAATGACGTTCTCCTTCTGAATTCCAGCTCCAGCATCTACTACCCCCGTCAGCTCAGCTTTGGCTCCCCAAACTTCGTCTTCTGCATCTGTGTCTACATCTACAGCACCAGCCACAGTGTTCAATGTGCCATTTGGTAAATCTTCATCTACCTCAACAGCTGGATTCGCTTTGAAGTTATCAGCTTCATCTCCATTGACCTCGCCTGTTAGTTCATCATCAACTGTCCAACCTTCAGTATTTACGCCATCCTCTACTGCACCCACGGTTTCAGCTGGACCAGTACTTGCGAAGTCTGAAACCAGTTCATCAGCTCCTTCATCATCATCAACCTCAATATCTGGATTCACTTTCAAGTTATCAGCTTCATCATCCTCAGCAAGTAGCTCATCATTTACAGCTCAATCATCGTTATTTACGCCATCCTCGGCTGCCCCGGCAGTGTCATCTGGTCTTGTCTCGGTGAAGTCTGAAGCTAGCTCTCCGTCTGAGGCTGATCATTTAGTTTTGCCAACCACCTCCTCTTCTACCGCACTTGGTGTCTCTGCCACTTCTGCTTCTCCTCAGGCTTCCCAAATTTCAGCTCCATCTTTTGCTGTTTCCTCTATAAAGCCCGTCTCGGAGTCTCCTGTGACAGAGAAACAAACTTCAACTGGTCTAAAACAGGGAACTTCTGTAGACTCTGCAGCAAAAGAGACAACTGTGAAGCCTGAGATGTCAGTGAATAAGGATAGTTCAGAGCCTGAAATTGCAGTATCCACTATAAGTTCTTCTGGGTTCTTACCCGGACTTTCATCTGGAACCCTGTCTAGCCTTGTCAGCATGGCACCACCTTCATTTGGCTTCTCAACGAGTTCTCAACAGCAGCGACTGTCGTCTACCCCTGTTGCTTTCTCTGCGCCCTTACCAACTTCCGCGAGTCTCTTTGGTGAAAAGAGAGATGCTTCAGTTGCTGGAGATAATCAGGAAGATGAAATGGAGGAAGAAGCTCCAGAGGCTAGCCAGTCAACTGACTTTACCCTGGGAGGTCTTAAAGGTTTTGGGCTCGGATCAACTCCAAACGCTGCTGCTCCCAAAGCAAACCCATTTGGTGGTCCCTTTGGTAATTCCACAACAACACCGGGGAGCAGTCCGTTCAATATGACGGTTCCCAGTGGAGAGCTGTTCCGCCCGGCATCATTTAATTTTCAACCGCCTCAACCGTCTCAACCAGCAGCAGGTTTTGGCGCGTTTTCTGCAGCACCTTCTCAAAGTCCTCCCACTCAAAGCGGGTTTGGGCAACCGTCACAGATTGGGGCGGGACAGCAAGCGTTAGGGTCAGTTCTTGGGTCATTTGGGCAGTCAAGGCAGCTTGGTCCTGGTCTTCCAGGATCTGGGTTTGGCTCTCCTCCTAGTGGGTTTGGAGCCGCTAGTCCAGCGGGTGGTATCTCAAGTGCACCAACAGGCGGGGGGTTTGCAACTGCTGCTTCTAATCCAGCCGGCGGATTCGCTTCCTTGGCCACAGCTGGTAAGGGGGGATTTGCTGGTCTTGGTTCAGGCAGTGGAGGATTCGGTGGCTTTGCTGCTGCCTCCACAGGCAGTGGAGGAGGTTTTTCAGGAGCAGGTGGAGGGTTCGGAGGCTTTGCTGCTGCTTCTGGTGGTGGAGGTTTTGCAGGAGCTGCCGGAGGAGGTAACAACTACATCCATACATATATATACACACACACACACACACGTATACATACATTGTTCATCAGTGAATGGGGTGGTGTGATTGTGTTACAGGTGGTGGGTTCGGGGCTTTCGGGGGTCAAGGTGGCGGTGGTTTCTCGGCCTTTGGTAGTGGCAACGCAGCAGGAAAGCCTCAGGAACTCTTCACTCAGATTAGAAAATAGACATCCTATGACTTATGTTGCAAGTCAGATGCTGCCTCAGTTAGAATCACACTGTAGTCAGTGTAGAGTGTCTGCTTCACTCCTTTATTGTATTAGCCACTTGAGTTGTCATAGTTTTAAGAAAGAGAAAGCAGTAGTTCCTTTATTGTATTCAGCCTTGCAAGTTTCACTAAAACCACCTGTATGTGTCTTTTGAAAGATCTTGTGGAAAAGATTTCCAAAGAGTAACTTAGATAAATAAAAAATGGTTTAAATTTTATTTTAACAGAATTATAAAAATATGTATATAGTTTCCGATGATGTTTACTGTGTAGGAGTAAATATTTTTCCAACGCATTTCCACAAATTTGTCCTTGGAGAAGGAAATGAAACGTTAATTAGTGAGGAAAAAAGAAAAAGACAGGCGTTAATTATAGTAGTTAACAATAACCTCCAGGATTAGTATGCTGCTGTTAGTTTTTTCCCCAGAAAGTTTTTCCTTTTCCTCTTCCGCAATCTGATCCCGCGAAAGAAATTCGTACTCTCCCCCTCACCGAATTCTCTTTCCTTTCTGCTTCTTTGTTCACCGGAAAATTCGTCGGAATCTTCGAGCTGTTGTTGGGTTTTTTTTTATATATATATATGAAGAGATATCGGAGTTGCAACAGAAGCGAAGCGATTTATGATGCTTTGTGGTTCCTTGCGGGATCGAATACAGCCCTGGCTTCGCGATTATGTTAGGCTCCAATCCCTCGCCGTGATCCTTATTTACGCTCAGGTAATCGATTGTTATTTGTCTTTTCCCCCGATTATTCGAATCCGTTCGGGCCTAGGGTTCAGTGTCCATTTGAATTCTTCGTCGATTCGCCGGTTGGGATTGCTCGTTTTTTATGGGATTGTTGTTGTGCGTTTTGTTGAATCATCTGTCTGATTGATTCAGATTGGATGTGCGTTGATTGGATCGCTAGGGGCATTGTACAATGGAGTTTTGCTGATAAACTTGGCGATCGCATTGTTTGCTCTGGTCGCGATCGAGAGCAACAGCCAGAGTCTTGGCCGGACCTACGCTGTTCTCCTTTTCTGCTCAATTCTTGTCGATATTTCGTGGTTCATACTCTTCACTCAAGAGATTTGGTAATTTTCCCTTCTAAGCACCTTTCTTGTGAATCTGTACTAAAGCTTTGCTTTGGAGGGGTCGGTGTGTTGTTTGTCGTTTATCCAATTTGAGTTTGGTTAAGCAGAAAGTCTTGTACTTTTCAGGGTTTGTGATATCAACTAGTATTTTGGGCTTCGCTGTTTGATTATAACGATTGGACTTGCTATTTTTAACAGTGTTTTCCTTTAGCGAATGCTATAGGAACTTGACATTTGAGATGATTGTTCTTGTTTTCTTCTCTCTGTCTTAACAGAATATGTTCTTGCCCATGCAGGACAATGTCACCTGAGATGTACCGGACATTTTTCATCTTTTCTGTGAAACTCACCTTGGCAATGGAAATTATTGGGTTTTCTGTGAGGTTGTCGTCCTCGCTCTTATGGCTTCAGATTTATAGGCTGGGAGCTTCTTTTTTGGACACCTCGATTCCCCGTGAAGCAGATTCAGATTTAAGGATTAGCTTCTTGAGCCCTGCAACTCCGGCCATAGTTAGACAATGTTCAGGTTCAGAAGAAATTTTGGGAGGATCCATTTATGACCCGGCCTACTATACTTCTTTATCTGAAGATGGTCAAAGCAACAGGGGATCACCCAGGGCATCACAGGTTTTTTATTCCCAATCTCTTCCATGCCTAAGCTTGTTATGGCACTCTTTCGTTTGTTATCTGTGTGTGTCTTCGAGGATAGCATCTATGTGTGTACTCTGTTCTGCCTTAATTACATGTTTCTCATGGTGGAAAAGAGGCTGCTATATTCATGAAATTGTCTCTTTCTAGAATATGGATGTTTCATTTTCCCATCCCATTGATAATTTCAGGTTCCCAGTCACAGATTCATATGCTTCTAGTTTTGCAAAAATTATTCTGCCTGATGCAAAATGCTCTGTCTGATCTTTAAATCCTTGTAGTCAATTCGTTGTTCAAATGGGAACAACGGATCCCGTTCCGCTACAGAGGCCTCTCAGATTAAGACCTCAGCATCCAGATCCTTGCAGGCAGTTGACGTTAGTCTTCTTAACTGATTGAAATTTTTAATGTTCTCCATTGTATCTTACTTAGCTACTGTCATATTGCTCTTGGATTTTCCATCCACTTATCATTACATTTACATATGGTCTGAAGAGTCAATATGTAACTAAAACAATTACCAGCATATCACTTGTGAGGTGGAAGATGTTAGTGGGGATTTTGTGGTTCTTTGGAAACTGATATGACTTAATGCAGGAGAAGAAAGCTGTGAGGAAATCGGGGATGGCTGCACAGTGAAAATCAAGATCTTCCCACCCAACAAAGCGGAAAATGCAGGATCTTGTTGGTCTCTTGGGGGGGGGGGAGTACAAAATGTGATACAGGGAGAAGCCTTATGTGTATAATGATATCCAAGGCTAGAAAGAGTACAGACGCTTTCAGATGTCAGATTCCGGGGATGGAAAAACAAAAACGAGGTAAAGAGGGCTTTTTTCCACTTTTTGATCTCTGCATCATATCATAGCTTTATTGGTACATTATAAAATTTATCAGACTTAGGATTGCTCTTATTAATATAATACGATGCTGTCTAGTTCATCAAACTTTTACCAGGGTCGGTCCAATATGTATGTGTGTGTGTGTGTATATATATATATATATATATATATATATATATGTGTATATATATATTATTGCTATTTATTTTTTAAAATGGAAGAAATGAGAGAAAAACGAGTTTGGGAGGAGAGAACAAAAGTAAGACGAAGAGGCTAAGGTCATGTGTCATTTGACTTATATGTAATTGATTAAACAAGTGTTCACTCCATTCGGCGACCTCCGTCGTCTCCACGCGTAACCGCGTTAAGAGCATTTGTTTTAGTAATATATGTCTATATATACACACACATATATATATATATGTATTATGCGAACCGTAACGTGTGGAGTATCATTTGAATTTATAGGCCTTCACATTAGCGTCAACGGTTTAAACACACACAGATTTTGATTGCTTTGCTTCTGCTCTTCTCTATGCCTTGAAGATGTATAGTAAGATGCATATGATTTCTTATAAAATAAAAAGATGAATATAACTATAGTTTATGAATAAAACGGTTGTTACTGAAAAATATCAAAGTTGATGACTTTATAGAAATCAGAAATTACGACCACTATTAAAATTTAAAGAGATTTGGACTTTGTTCGTAAAGAAGCCTCACCATCAACTCAAACGTCACGTATAGAGTTCTTTATGTGTTAGTTACCTCACATGTATTACCAAGTCAATTCTCTTCTTTGTTATAAAACCAACCATCGTCCAAATAAAAAGCTCGTCCTCTCATATACTTATGAAAATGTGTCGTCAAGTGGTGTGGTTGATGGCTTTGGTCCTCGTCGTCTTGCTCTCCAGATCGAACGCATCTCTGGTCCGACCCTACGAGCCAAGTGAGTTTCTTTGATCCGCTGTCTTGAATTATTCAATAATCTAAATGTTCGTTAATTTGTCGGTGGAGGAAATAGCAGAATTAAGAGGAATCAAGATCGGAGTGGGCGGCAGCAATTCGAAGCGCGCTCTTCAAAGAAAAGTACCGCCTGGAGGAGGAAACTAAACTCCACAGTCACCCACGACTCTTGCAATTACACTTTAACACATGTGTATGTATATATGTAATATATAATCCATATTCATTTCGATGTGTTCTCACCCTTTTCTGTGTATGTTTCGTTGAAACATGTATATATATATATATATATATATATGTGTGCGTATTGAATTTCGGGAGGTTTAATTGGTGTGTCAGGAATTTTCTCGTGTCGTATTTATTAGAATGTAGAACAACTTGCATACTCTAAATCAAACCAAACCCATCTTAATTATTCTCTTATAATATGTGGTTGAATGCAAAGAAACATGTTTCTTTTATATATATATATATTCAATGGCAAAGAAATAGAAGAAAATGCCATATATATACAACCAATAATATTAAAAGGCTACTTACAAAATCGAAGAGACAATGGAGAAACAAGCAGATGCATGCATGCGCGTGTTCCACGATATGTAGGAACATTACGTAGCCTCTTCAGGGCATTTTACTGTGAGGAAACAACATTAAATTAAAGATTGGACGTGTATCCTTTTTTTTTGTTACAACATCCGGATGGAAAAGAAATCAGAACCCCTTTTGACCATTTGTTCCCATAAATGCGAATCTTGGTAAACGTCAACGGTTTAAACACACACAGATTTTGATCGCTTTGCTTCTGCTCTTCTCTATGCCTTGAAAGATGTATAGTAAGATGCGTGTACATTATATATAATCATAGTTTATGATATAAAACGGTTTGTTACTGAAAATATATATATCAAAGTTTATGACTTGTAGCTTCCGTTATTAAAATTAGAAATTACAACCATTATTAATATTTAAAGAGACTGGACTTTGTTCATAAAGAAGCCTCACCATCAAATTAATCAAACGTCGCGTATGGAGAGTTCTTTATGTGTTAGTTATCTCGCATGTATTACCAAGTCAATTCTCTTCTTAGTTATAAAACCAACCATCGTCCAAATAAAGCTCACCCTCTCTAAGAATCTTGAGAAAAAAAAAACCCGGATAATGTATCGTCAAGCGGTGTGGTTAATGGCTTTGGTCCTCGTCGTCTTGTTCTCCAAATCGAATGCATCTCTGGTCCGACCCTACGAGCCAAGTGAGTCTCTTTGGTCCGTTTTCTTGGCACCGGATTGAATGTTATTCAAGAATCTAAATGTTGGTTAATTTGTTGTCATATACAATCGGTGGAAGAAACAGTAGGATTCAGAGGAATCAAGATCGGAGTGGGTGCAAGTGTTTCGAAGCCTGCTCATAAAAGAGCACCGCCTCTAGGAGGGAAGTAAACCCCACAGCCATGTACGTACGGCTCCCGGAATTTAACATATACGTATGTATGCGTATATATATAGTCGGTCTTCATTTTTAACATATACGTATGTATGCGTATATATATAGTCGGTCTTCATTTCCATATATATGTTGTCAGTACCCTTTCCTGTGAAGATTTCGATGAAACATATGTATATATGCATATTGATTGAATTGGTGTTTGTGAAATTTCCTCTCGTGCCATTGATTAAAAAGTGGAACAACTTACGTACTCTAATACGTGGTTGAATCAAAGAGACGCGTTTCTTTTGCTTACCCATATATGTGTTTCAGATTTTGTAACAAAATCAAAGCTTGAGTTATACACACATATATATATACACACACACACACATATATATATACACACACACACACACATATACACACACACACACAATGGCAAGTTTGTGGAAGTAGAAGAAAATGCTGTGAAACCAATAACAGCACATATGCATGCATGCATGCATGTTCCACGATATGTAGGAACATTACGTAGCCTCTCCAAGACATTCTCCGCCTCGTTTTTCAACAGATTCATTGAACTCGGCCTCTTTCTGTCGGAAACATATTCTTAACCTAAGAAATAAAAAAGGTCAATTTACACAGAAACTCATGATTCAGGCATCGACCCTCTCTATAAATACAATCAACTTGGCGTATTGATTAAAAGATAAGCCCAAAATGTTACGTGGGGTGTGGATAGTAACTTTGGTCCTCCTTGCGTTCTTCTTCACGCCAAACACAACTATGGCTCGTTCATATCCATCTTCTAAGACCGGTAAGCGTTTTTTTTTTCAATTATAATTTTTTTTTAGAATAATTAAATGAAGTGTTTTCTTAATCCACGTGTTAGGTTTGTCGGAAGAGACTGGAGGAGGGAATTGGGATCGACTTTTCGGACAAATCAAGAGTAAGGTATCACGAAGTGGCTCACCCCACGACAGGCAATATCACCTTTGAATTCCAAATTCCAATAATCATGTCTCAATCAACACCTATATATACATACATATATATATATATACACCATTGATTTTTATTTTTCATCATTCGGTTTTTGTGTACTATGATTTGATTTGATTAAATATTTCCCTCGTCAGAAAACTGCATAGAAGCCAATGTTTTTTTTATTTGATATTTACAGCTATAATAGATTAGATGCCCCCCAAAATAAATAAATAAATGGCATTCTATTCGAAAGAAAATACGTAAAGTTAATTCAATGAGAATTCCCGTTAATATTATTACTAATCTCATATTTATTTATCTTTTCGGGTACGGAAAAAATAAAATTAACGAATAATAATCTAAAAGTACAAAAAATTGAGCGAAAAAGAGCGATAAAAAGAGGTTTGTTTGAGCCGTCTCTCACGCGCTCAGATTCTTAAAAACTGAGAATTGAACCAAAACGCTGGACTATAGCGCGTGATGTTAACTCGCGAACTATGCGCGTGGGGTATTTCAATTAATATGTTTACAAAAACTACACCGACTTAATTAGTGTTGGGCTCAAACGGCCCATTGTCTCCACGTATAGGCCCATTTTATCTCTCCCCTATTTTCCACAAAAAAAAAATGGTAAAATATGGGTACTCGTTTCAATTTAATACCTATATTTTTTTAATTATAGAATAATATCTGTATAATTGATTTTTCTCCAAATAAATCATATACTTTTAAATTATTAACTAAAAAATACCTACCGTTAAATAATCGCCACGTAGACAAACAAAAATGCTACGTGGCGGCAAAATTTTCAACATCTCTCCTAATCATCACCACACCAGAAATTAAATAAAAAATAAATAAATAATAAATTAATTAATAATAATAATTAATTAATAAAATAAAAAATCATAAAAATAAATAATATATATACACATATACACATATACATATATATATATACGTATATAAATATATACATACACATAAATACATATATATATATACCAATACATATAAGCATATATATATATATATATCAATACATATATATACATATACATACATACATATAAACACATACATATAAAAATATATACATATATATATGCATATGTATAAATACATGCTACATATATATACATACATATAAATATATAAATATATGTATGTGTATGTGTTATATATGTATGTATATCTATATATATGTGTATACATATGTATATATATATATGTATGTATATATATATGTATGTATATATATATGCGAATGTATATATATGTATATGTATGTATATGTATATATATATGTTTATATATATGTATTAATATATATATGTGTGTGTATTTATATGTATGTATATATATGTATATATATGTGTGGATGTGTATATTTATATATGTATGTATATGTTCATATATGTATATATATGTGTATGTATATATATGTATGTATATGTATATTTTATTATTTATTTTTTTATTTTATTATTATTACTAATTTATTTATTATTTATTAATTTTTGATGTGGCGATCGATGACATGACGGAATGATTATGAGAGATGTTGAAAATTTTTATCGCCACGTAGAATTTCCGTTTGTTTACGTGGCGGTTATTTGACGGTAGGTATTTTTTTGCCAATATTTTAAAAATATAAAATTTATTTGGGAAAAAACCAATTGTACAGATATTATTCAGTAATTAAAAAAGTATAGATATTAAATTGAGACCAGAGAAAAGTAAATGTATTTTACGGCGATTCTCCCAAAAAAATAATAATAATAAAATTTAGAAAATATACAAAACATAATTAAATTTTTTGTAAGAAATAATTACATTTTTTTTCACTAACATAAAGATACTTTACAATGTATATATTTTTGTCTTCAACAGGAAATATTTTAACTCAATTTGTATCCAGACCAGATCTATGATAAATATTCAAAATGTACCTCACTCGTATTTATTTTGAAATCTTTAGACAAATGTAACTTAATATTTACAATTATAGTAGCAATAGATGCCCCAAAAATAATTAAATGGCACTCTATTTCATAGAAAATACGTAAAGTTAATTCAATGAGGACTCCCGTTAATTTTATTACAAATTTCGTATTTATTTCACAAGTATGACGGACAAAAAAATTAACGAATAATAATCGAATAAATAAAAGTAAACAAAAATTGAGCGAAAAAAGAGCTATAAAAGAGGTCCGAGCCGTCTCTCACGCGCTCATATTCTTAGAAAACAGAGAATCGAAGCAAAATGCTGCACTATAGTCCGGCGGATTTGAGCGCGTGATGTTAACTCGCGAACCATGCGCGTGGGATATGTCAATCGATACATTTAGCTAAACTACACCGACTTAATTAGTTTTGGGCTCAAACGGCCCATTGTCTCCACGTATTGGCCCATTTTCTCCCCCCCTATTTCCCAAATAATAATAATAATAATAATATTTCGGAAATAGAAGTTATAAAACTCACATTTTTTGTTGGTAAAAACATAAATACATATTCTTTGGTAAAAAAATAATTACATTTTTAACCGACATGAAAAATACTTTACAATCTAGATATTTTTGTCTACAAAATGATAGATGATTAATTGATTTTTGTATTATCTAATTAAATTAGAAAACAATATTAATTTAGTTTGAAAATATGGTTTCGAATACCATATTTTCAAACCGAACTTTAGGATTCATAACTCCAAATTCGAACGTGTTACCAAGTCTAAAGAATTTTTTATATATATAGAATTCTTTTTTAAAAGGAACATCCATGTAGTCGGGTCGGGTCGAAGACTCGAAAAATTATTTTGGTTATAAAAAAAACATATGTTGTTAATGCAGTACCATCAAGAGTTTGGAGATTTAAAAAATCCACAAGAAAATAACCCATGATAGGTTTAGTAAAATAGTATAAAATGTCTGTAACCATAGATTACAGTAGGGGTGGGCACGGATTGGATATCCGTGATTTTTGAGATATCCGTATCCGTACAAATACTCGATTTTATTATCCGTATCCGATCCGTAATTTACGAATATCCGAAATTTCGGATATCCGTAAATATCACGAATATTTGCGAATATCCGTATCCGACATAAAAATTATAAAAATAAAAATAAAATTAAAGACCAAAATTTTAAATAAATAAATTATATAGGTCATTTATATTCAAAATTTAAAATTTATGATTTAAATATTTAAAATCAATTTAAATATAAATATAATCATAATCTATCATATACAAATGTATTCGAAGTTTAAAATTTTAAAAATTAAACATAAAAAATCTTAATATTAAAAAAAGTAAACATTCTAAATCTCAATTATATAAAATATTTCTTAAATATATGTAAATATAAAATATTTTAAATCTCTATACCAAATTATTCTTATATTTAATAATATTATTAATTAGTACGGATCGGATCGGATATGTCGGATAATTCGAATTTGATATCCGTATCTGATCCGTATCCGACAAATATTTGAAAATAAATATCCGTATCCGATCCGTACTTTCCGGATATCCGAATTTTCGGTTCGGATACGGATCGAATAACGGATTGGTTCGGTTTTTTCGGATATTATACCCACCCCTAGATTACAATTATTTATGTGTATAATAATATGCTTTTTTTTTCATGTGAATTCAACATGTAAATTACAATGAGTGGTTGGAGTCATCATCCCTCGTGTTTGAAAAACTTTGAACTTTTTTTTTTGGTATAAATGTGCTTTGTTATATTAATATCCGAAGAGTTACATATACAAAAAGATTTACCGAAAAGCAGTAAGGGATTCCCATGTTGTAGGGCCAAAAAACTTTGAACTTAATGAGCTTTGACCATTTCAGCAGGCGTGCATGTGCATGGTGTCACGCTAAGACCACACCACATATTCATTCGTTGAATATAATCATTAACACCAAAATGAAGACGACACGTCTCCCTCTCTCTCCCTCTCTCTCTCTCTCTCTCTCTCTCTCTAGACTATATAAATACATGACATATTATATATATATATTCAGACACTCGGAATTTGATGCTGTTGAGTTATAATATAAGGTGCAAGAATCCAGCCCAAGCGTTAAAAAAATGTACGGGCAAGTTGTATGGTTACTGACTTTGATTCTCCTCTTGTTATCTGCCTCGAACACACCTTTGGTCAAATCCCATGGATCTTTTAAGACAAGTAAGCGCCTTTGTTCTCTCTCTCTCTCTCTCTCTCTCCCTTAAGACAAAAACTTATTGTAGAGAATGGTGAGCTTAAATGATTTTGTCTCCGTGGGGGAAATTAAAAACAGGGTTTAGGGAAGAAGAATCGAAGATTGGAGTGCCCAGAAGTGTCTCGAGGCCTGCGAGAAGTAAAGGGCCAAGACCACCTCCTCCTCCAACTCCAAGTGCACCCTAATGCATCCACCGTCTCTCTATGATCTCTTGTCTTATTTATTGCATATTTATGGCTGGGATCCATCGATTATCTAAATCAAGTTCTAATTTTTCGTTTTTATTTTTTTATAAATAAAAAAATACTGATATTGTGTATTTTCATTGAAAAAAAGTATACATATGATAATAAGAATATTTTTTCTTTGGTAAAAGATAATATTAGTTGGAAGTTAATCGTTCAACTTAACAAGATACCGGTATGAGAAAAATGTTATCCCATAAGATTTTTTTTGATAAATTATCCCATAAGATTTCACTAGTAAAAAAAAAACCTTGTTTTTTTTTTGCAAAAGTAGATGACAACCGATTAGGTCGAAGAAGAGGGCACAAACATGCGCATAAATCCTGAAAGACTATACCACACCAATTATCGATGAGTGGATTCCTTTTGTTGCAATTCAGAAACTTACGGGCTGAAATCGAAAGTTTCGAAGTTTTATTCCTCAACAATCAAAAGTTCGAGGAGATATCAAGATAATAGTATTTATAAGGACTAAATTGCAAAATTATATTTAATTAATTTAAAAAGATTGAGAAAATGGCTCAGAAGACGGTCGACTCGTTTAGGGTATTCCATCTCTCTCCGCCGTCTCTGTGATTTTTTTCGCCATCTCCGTCTCCTCCGCCGTTGTCTCGTCGATCGTCTACTCCTGTTAGCTTACTCTCAGGTATGTCTCCCTCTCTTTCTCTCTCCTCTCCGCGACCAATGGGGAGGAAACTTCGATATCACTGTCGGATCCTCCCCGATACGAATCTCTGGAGAATCTGAAGTCGGGCTTGCAAAGATTCAAGCTTTTATGGTTTCGACTGAAGTTTCTTGTTGTCTTGTATTCTGTAATCTGGACGATGTGGGTCATAATTTTTCTTCGTTAGAAACAATAAAGGTTTGTACTTTCTGTGTGCTATTTGAGGTATGTATTGATTAGTGATTGCTGTTTCAGGTCATTTGATCAGATATGCCATCGAGAATTGCCCAGATTCGGCTTGTAAGTTCACATCCCGAGGTCTATGAACCATGTGATGATTCATTTGCACTGGTCGACGCCCTTCTTGCTGATCGAACCAATCTCATTGATCAAAACCCAAAAATCTGCATGGAAATTGGCTGTGGAAGTGGCTATGTCATAACATCCCTCGCCCTTTTGCTTGGGAATGAGGTTGGAGGCGTTCACTATCTGGCCACAGACTTAAACCCTGTAGCTGCAAGAGTAACACGTGAGACACTAGAAGCACATGGCGTTGATGCAGAAGTAATCTGTACTGATATTGCTTCTGGGTTGGAGAAGAGACTCGCTGGTTCGGTTGATGTTATGGTGGTTAACCCACCTTATGTACCGACACCCGAAGATGAAGTGGGTTGGGGCGGAATCGCATCTGCTTGGGCCGGAGGGGAAAACGGCCGGACTGTTATCGACAAAATCTTGCCGGTTGCTGATCTTCTGTTGTCAGAGAAGGGTTGGTTGTACTTGGTGACACTAACCTCAAATAACCCATCTGAGATATGCCTGATGATGAGAAAGAAGGGTTACTCGTCAAGGATCGTTGTTCAGAGATCAACCGAAGAAGAGAATCTCCATATCATCAAGTTCTGTAGAGACAACGATGTTCGAGCTGGGGACAAGGAGACATCGTCGTCCTCAATCAAAGGAGTTCCAAAGATCTTGGAGTCGTTGGTTTCTCAGCTTCCGAGATCTCTGTCTTTGTGGAGACACCACAACGACGAGGCCGGAGGAAAAGTTTGATTCTCTTGCGCGTCTTTTTGCTTTAATCATGGGTGAATACTTGTGCATTGAGCAATTGAAACTGGTTATTACTTCATAGGAAGCATTCTTGTTTTGTATTGTTGTAAATAGTTGGGGATGTTTCTCCCAATGCTCATTCAGTTCCTCTGTTTTCAATCCCCTGTCTCAACCCGGTTGTGTTGGACCGGGATATAAACCGGTGCTTTTGGTTTGGTTTAATTCTCGAACCAGTTACATCCTCACCGAAATTAATTCATGGGGAATGAGAAAATCGTCTATCTCCTGGTAACCTTGAACTTGAATAATACTTGTATATTACAAAAACCGACAATATTTTAAATCACTGATTCATATATATATTGAGTTTGGTATTTCGTTAAATCATAATTTAGTGTATGATTATGATTAAATCCTAGTTTACAAAAAAGAAAATGGAATCTTGTTGTGATCAGTTGTTTACGTTTTCATAGATATTAGTGTCTACTGTTTTCCATATTCGTCTGAAACCAAATATAGCGATAACCTAGGGATTTGACGTGGCGGCAGAATATTGGACGTTTCTTAAAAAACTTACGAGAGCTGTCATAGTAGATTTGCCTGGACGAATTCCCTAAATTACCCTCACTCCTTTTGGCCAAACCGAAAAAAGAAAGGGGTATTTTCGAAATATAATTATTTGTGTATATATATGTCCCTGGGATCTATTAGATTCAAAGCACGATCAAGTTGCCGAGGGGGAATTCATAGAGAAGGAAATCTCTGCTATATAAGCACCGATTTACAAATCTCTTTTCCCACCGATTCTTGGATCTTCGTATAAAAGCTTCACCTTTTCGAATCTTCCTACCTCCTTTCGCTGTTTTCTTTTTCGATTTTCTTGAAATCGTTGGGGAATTTGAAACCCTAGATCTCGATTCCGAAACTCGGATAGCTAACTAGCGGAAAAAGGTCTGATATTTTTCTCCCTTTTTTGAGGCGGATGCGTGCAATCGGTTGAAAAGATATCAAATTTCCGTACCCATTAAGCTGTTTTTCTAATTGGATCGTGGGTTTGGAAATCAGCCAGTGGATCAGATTCGGATCGATATGAATGCCTGTAGTCTTGTACACCCTTTTGTTCCTTTCCTGTGGCTGTTGGTCAGCTTTAGACACGAATTGAGTGCATGGTTTAGTTGAATTGATGTTTATGGTTTTAATAACGGTCGTGTTGTGAACTTTTAGGGAATGGCTGGTCAGGGATCGGAAGGAAATCAGCCAGTGGATCTCTCCAAGCATCCTTCAGGGATCGTTCCGACTCTCCAGTTAGTTATCTTGTCTTGTTCGTGTGTCTTGCCTTCAGGATTGTCGGGAAATTTTTTTCCTGGTGAATGAAAAGATCTTTTTTTTTTCAGGAACATTGTCTCGACTGTGAACTTGGACTGCAAGCTGAATCTTAAAAACATAGCTTTACAGGCTCGAAATGCTGAATATAATCCCAAGGTTTGAATTTTTGCGCAATGTTGTTTTATTATAAAATATGTTGATTGGGTTCAATTTCAGTGCTCTTTACACTGACCTTGTTAGTGTTAGGTCTTTGTAGCTGGTCTAAGTCTAAATTACTGATGGATAATATATGAGATGTTTAGTAATACATTGGTGTTATTTCATAGGTCTTTCTCAGCCCAATATGACTGTCGCAAGGTGTAGCCTATGTTATCTGCCATTAATTTAACTTGTTAGTTTACTTTGTTCACAGCCTTATTTTGATCTTTCTGTGTTTTATCTTCCAGCGTTTTGCTGCTGTAATCATGAGAATAAGAGAACCGAAGACCACTGCGTTGATATTTGCCTCTGGAAAGATGGTGGGTTATTGTATTTATGGGTGTGAAATGGTGGAGTTGGTACATATATATTTTGCTCCATACTCTCTTTATGGCATAATGGTTAAGGTTAAATCAATTTTAGGTGTGTACTGGGGCTAAGAGTGAACACCTTTCAAAGCTAGCGGCAAGGAAGGTAATTTATAACTTGTCAAGTTGATAATATATTGTCATTGTGGTGAAATTCTTTTAGTTTTCGCATGAACTTTGGGTGACAATTTTAAGATATAGCCTAATATGAGCTTTTTGTTCTTCAGTACGCTCGGATAGTTCAGAAGCTTGGCTTTCCTGCAAAGTTCAAGGTACTTGTTTCTGGTGTCAGTCTCAAATACACTGCTGTTTTATTGCCTGTGATTTAAGTTCATCTTTGTTTCAGATAAAAGTTACTTTGAAGCTAATTACAATATCTAATTGCATTCTGCAGGATTTCAAGATTCAGAATATCGTAGGCTCCTGTGACGTGAAATTTCCTATAAGACTTGAAGGCCTGAACTACTCTCACGGTGCTTTTTCAAGTGTAAGTGATCTCTAGCCAGCCCTTACTCTCCTCAAGTTTCCCACTGGTATCATAATCGACGTGCTGATGTGATTATTTCTTATTGATCCAGTACGAGCCTGAGCTATTCCCTGGTCTGATTTATAGAATGAAACAGCCGAAAATCGTGCTGCTTATTTTCGTTTCTGGAAAGATTGTTATTACTGGAGCCAAGGTAATGTTACTTTCTTCAGTTTTTTTGCCTTTTGTTTTTGTTGTATTGCCGTGCGAGGTTGTCTACCTTTCCTATCTGATAAAAATCCTGAGGTCACTATCAGATGAGAGAGGAGACTTACACTGCATTTGAGAATATATACCCAGTTCTGACAGAGTTCAGGAAGATCCAGCAATAGTATGTACGTCTCCTGTCTTCCTAAAGATTTCTGTATCGTGGGTCATGCTCGTTCGTTCGCGATCTTTCTGCATCTAACTGCATAACACCAGAACCCGAATATGAGATTCGAAATCATATGTTGAGGTGAGAATGTGATGCCTATCTTCGCCCCATTCTGAATCCATCATCTTCCAAAACTGTTTCCAGATTTAGGTGTGGCAACTGGCAAGCGCTTTCAGAGAGATTCATTTTGTGGTCTGACTCATATTGTAAATACAGAAAGGAGACTGATACTTCCTAAGTAACTCTTAAAGGCTTACTTCTTTCTGGAGATCCACTCTGGCTTTTGTAATATCCAAAGATGAGATACTTGCCATTATCCAAAGACGAGTTTCTTAGTTCTACTTACCATGTTTTGGCACATTCATACTCTTTTCATCAGTTAATTCTGATGATATTAAAGTCTTGATCACGAAGTTTTGATGTGTTCTAATGAAGTTCATTGAAGTCCAAGGGTTAGTGTTGTTATAAAGTGATACTTTATTCACAATTTCACATGAGTGTAGACCATAAGCATATTTCCATATCCCTATAGATTTCTTCCACAGATCAGAGAGTATTGTTTTTCAATGTAACCATGCAGCTGCACTGTCCCGGTTCTTCTTCTTCTTGTCAGATTGGTTAATATTTCACAGTCGATTTGATTGCTTCCAATATCTGCATCACACAGATTGGTAGTGTCAGAAACCGAACACAAGGATGTGGGAGAAGACAGAGCAAGGAGAACCAGAAACTTGCCTTGTTCTTGGTGGGCATGTAGAATGGCTCAAACACTAGAGGGAATGGTGTGTCCAGACCACACACTCTGGATACAGGTGCTTCTAACTGCAGAAGACAACAACTTTAATCACTGTTTACCATTATCTTAAGACACAGTGGGTGCTCGATGACCACAGGTTATGGATAGTTCTTTCTTGTTTACCCTCAAGAAGCAACGTTCCACGATAGTAGCAGATATCTCCGCTCCAAAGCCTCCCGTTACAGGAGCTTCATGGCTGATCTACAACCGAAAGCAAGGGTAAATTTATAGGTTCGGTAAAAGCTTGCTGCAACTTTTTACATTGTTTTTGTTCGGCTTACCAGAAGTCTGCCAGTTTTACTGACAGAGGCCTCAACGGTTTCCTTGTCCCACGGGATTAGCGTCTTGAGATCTATCAGTTCACAGGAGATCCCTTCCTTCAAGACGCCCGACTCACATTTCGTCAATAGATCAAGCAAAAGTGAGAAAGAAATCTGAATTTATCAAACCTAGACATGATTTCAAATAGAGAGAAAGCTTAAACCGGTGATTTAACCTTTTCGGCATCAAGGCAAGCTTGTGCCATGATGGTGAGCTGTGCCCCCCATCCAACAAGGGTTATGTCACTCCCTTCCCTTATGACCTGACAATTATTTCTCCTTGTTAGTGTCTCTTGTGCGAGTTCTTCCTACAGAAAAGACCCCTAAAAACGAACTTCAAACCTCTGCCTCTGATAAAGGTGTCATGTAATCATGCTCGGGAACCTCTTCTACTGCTTGACGATACAGCCACTGCAGAAAAAGGCTTATGACAATCAGATGACATTCAGGACAGGAGGCCATCTATATGAAAGGACGTACCTTTGGCTCAAAGAAGACAACAGGATTTGGGTCACGGATGCTTGACAGCAATAGTCCCTTGGCTTCCCGTGGGCTACGAGGTATAACGACCTGAGAAACAATTGTCATCATATCCTCCAGGGGAAGCTAGAGAAACGTTTCAATGAAAATCCAAAGGAAAGACGGACGGATAGAATGTAAGAAGAGAGGATGTACTTTGATACCGGGGACATGGCAGAAAAAAGCTTCAGGGGATTGTGAGTGATAATGCCCACCATGACCAACTGCCCCATATGGTGCTCTTATCGTAAGGCCTTAGAGATTCAGACAAAACTCTCAAGTGAGTATAAGAATTTTGATGTCCAGATCAAAGATGATAGATACTAGAGGACGATGAAGAAGAATCAAGGGAAATACCTCCACAGTTGAACTGATTACCACTTCGGTATCTGAATTTTGCGGCTTCATTAACAATCTATGAACCACAACTTCCGTCAAAGGGGGAAACAATGCAGTGTAAGTCAAAACTTATCTCGAAGGGAATGTTCACCTGATCAAAAGCAGGATAAATATAATCTGCAAACTGGATTTCTGCTATGGCTCGATTACCCTGTTAGAACCAGACATCAGAAGATGTTACCATAGAGCATTGCAAGTACATTATCTCTCCGTGTTTTATAGAGGGCATGAGACATTCCGACTGCAAACAAAAACAAGAACTCACCATAGCAGCCAGACCAATGCCAAATCCAACAATACCCTGTTTCAAGGAACACAGTGTCAAAATTGTTGAAGGCGTTTTGTTTTGTATCTATGGAGAATCAAGAAGAGACACACCTGTTCGCAAAGAGGAGTGTTGAAAACGCGTTGTTTCCCGAACCGTTCGGCTAAACCTGTCGTGCAGCGGAAAACCCCTCCGAATCCAACATCTTCTCCGAACACATAAGAGCTTCAACAAGAGTTGCATTGCACCATTAAAGTCGGAAACTCAAAACAGTTCCTACCAGTTTCAGTAGAAAAAGGAGACCTTCTTCTTCATTCACAAGACATTGACTCAAGAGACAGAAAACACCATAATCATAATCCTCACTAACACAACATTGGACAAGCCAGTTACAGGCTCCGAGATCGTGTTTGGCTGTTCTTTTTTCCCCTGATTTGAAGCGTTCATAACAGTAAAGAATATAGGAACTTGTGGTCATCGACAGCATTCGGAGAGATGTACACAAACAAAAAGAAATCCCGGCAACCTTTCGTTTCTCCAATTTTTTTTTTTAAAAAATATCTCACCGAGGATCAGTGTCCAAGGCGATGTGAAGAGCTTGATTGATGGCTGAATAGAGATTTAACGACTTCGCAGTTTCCGATTCACGCGCCGCCGTCGATAGCCTCCTGATTCCATGACCCGTACCTGAAGAAGCTATTCTCCGGCTGAATCTTCTGAAAATAGTCGCCATTAGCGCAGAAGATAGAAACTTTCGGAGATGACAGTCGAAAGCCACCAACGATCGATTCAATCTGAGAATCTTCAACGAAGCAACGATTGCGACAGAGGAAGAACTGAAGAGTCGAGGACGACGTAAAGGTTCTTGCTTTTCAGAAGAAGGGATGATCTTGGAGTTTCCGAGGGCCTAATCCTGCCACGTCAGATCCGAGATTTTCCAAAAGCTAAAGCTAATATACAGGTTTGAACGTCAAATCTAATCTGATAATATGACACCAAAGCAAAAACATATGAATCTTATCCTGAGGCAACCGTAATTATCTTTAAAGATTAATTGCGCAACTTAATTATTTCTAATATTAATTATTACAAAATTGGATAATATGTTATGAAAATTATGAATCAGACAGGGTCTGTCTTCACCGTTGTACTTGTAATTAAATAGTCATTCTCAAAAATTGCAAAATTTAACTGAAAAAAACTATATTTTCAAATATTCTTAAACAGATATCTCCACATACTAATTCCGGGAATAAAATAGACATCTCTAATGATATAATGATGACTGAATATAATTGACATTACCTAGCTTACTTAAAATAAAAACAAAATCAGATAATTATTTCAAACATTCTTAAACAAAATCGCTTGGAACGATAAAACCGAAGATAGAAAAAGATGACATATATCATAAAATCTAAACTGGAAATTAAAACCAGATCAAGAACTCAAAAGGGTCATATGTGTCTGAAACCAAGAAAAAAGGAAACTAAGAATTTAAACACCCCCACCCCCCCAAACAAGAGAACAAAAAAAAAAAACACGAAATCGAAATCTCTGTCTCTGCCTAAAATCCAAAAAAAAAAAAAAAGACAAATCCCACCCTGCTTCTACGCATATACAAGGCAGGAAAAATAAGAACAATGTAAAAGGAAAATATGCTTGAAACATGAAGGGAAACAACTTCTAGAGGGCAAAGTCAGATCAGATCCTAAAACAAGAAAAAGGGTTTGTCGGCACTACCAACGTTTTTGAGTTTTGATTGATTCCAAGAAGCCTCCTCTTCTCCTACACAGCAAATTTCAGATTCTCCACACGCTTCTGCAATGCAATAAGACGGCTGCTTCTTCTTTTCCCATGGCGCTTATGAGGGGATAATGTCGAGGACTGCCATGGGAAGAAGCCTACGTGAAGAAGCTAAAGACCATTTGGCACTGCCTCTACAAGCTTAGCCTTGTTTGAAGAATCCCCGGTTTTAGCAGCTGAGCCATTTTCAGAAACCTTGAGATCACCAGAAGCTGGAGCATACTCCTTTTTTGTCACCTCAGCAGTTGCAGAACCATTTGCAGGCTCCTTCTTGTCATCAGTAGCTTTCCCTTCCCAGACCTGCTGCCACATTATGGAGAGACAGATATTAGACGACAGACAAGTAAACACAACTGCGGAATTTCGATCCACTTAAAACTTGTATCTTTTTGTCTTGCCTGTTTCTGGGTATGCTGCTGCTGCTGCTGCTTGGCTTTCTTCTCCTGAATCGTCTTTTGTCGAACCTCGTAGAATGAGAAATCATCCAAAATGCATGTCTTGCTGTTATGTTCTTTGAAAATCTTTATTAACTTCAAACCCTGCTCCAGTTTGACCTATTATATGATCCCACAGGCAGAGTTCGTCAATGGCAAAAAAAAAAAAAGCAGGGCAAAAGAGAGAAAAGATGATTCAACAAATGCTGACTTTTACCTCTTGTGTGTCTCTACTGTTCGTAACAGGTTTATTTTCATTGTTCTCGAGGGTAATGTGCTTCAACAAACTGTTGGGCACATCCTTCACTATATGCCACTTCAGAGGAAAGGAACCAGTCCACTTGTCCTGTTGCCAGTACTCCACATTTTTGTTGAAATCAACTGGTCCTATCATTTCAGCGACCCCAACAAATTGTCCACTTGCATTGACCTGAACACAGAATTGTAGTATTACGGGTCAATAACATCATGAGCCGGTACATAAAAAAATAAAAATGAGTTCAGAATTTGGATACAGACCGAGAAGAAGAGAAACAGGGGACAGTCACCAGGCTTCTGCTGAGCTTCCTGATATGCTGCATCGAGTTTCTTGTTGCCATTTGGTGTGCTAGCCCACACACTATATTTGATGCTCTTATGAATGTCATCTTCGCTGTATGACTTGATGACAAAGAACTTAGCATCTGAGTAATCCTCAGAGAAGTCTTCTCTATTGTATTGTTCTTTGTCAGGAACAACACAGGTTTTGTCTGTCTCACCAGTCTCAGTTACACTGGATTGTTCGGTCTGCCCCTTCACATCAAAGCTAGCCTCCGACGCACCCTTTTGGCTCTTTGGGCCCTTTGCTCTGGGCCCCCTGTTCAACTCATTCAAACCATCTATGTTATCACTTCCCGAGAAGTAATTGTTACCCCTGCCCCGGCCTTGGTATTTGTTGTCGGCAGTCACCCATCTACCATTTGTTCTTGAATCATACCCAGTCGAACCATAACCCATACCAGATCTGACAGTGCTACCGTACTGATTGTACAACTTGCTTGGGTACCTGTTGTTGTATCCCTGAGCTGTACCAAATCCTGTCATTGAAGTGGGCTGGTGTAAACCCTGCAGAAAAAAATTGGTTTGGCGTTATGCGTTATCAGGAATGAGGCACTTGTGCTCAAGTTTTTAACCTGACAACAATCAGACCACTACAAGGCCTGGAAACTGTGATCTCAACGACTGAGGAACCTGTGATCTCAACGATTGGGCTGGATGCTGGACAGATAAACTGCCTTATTAATATAAGAAATTAAATTCAGAAACATATCAGCATACCATGTAATGAGAATCTGACCGGTAGTTCTGATTCCTTGATGAAGGCACATTGTTAGCCTTGGAAAAAGATGATGCAACCCCACTTCCAGACACATGCCTCTGCACATCTGAAAACTTGGAGCCATCATGCCATGACATGGGAGCGTAAAACCCATCATAGCTAAACATGGGATCCTGATAACCAGCAGCAAAACCCCCTCCCAGAGCAGCATTCCCGTACAAATTAGTGGAGTTAAGAGTACCCTGGTTCAGCGGTTTCACCAGAGCTGAGCCATTGTTTCCTTTAGCAATACCACTCTTTGAAGTAGCAGTAGCATTCTTACTATCTGCAGGAATTGTCTTCTCATCGGCAGCTTTGTTCGTGGAGATATCCCCCTGAGAAGCAGCAGCAACAGAGGAAGCAAAACCGGTTGAGAGAGGAAAGAAAGGGTACTGGTATTGCTGAGCACCAAACATCTGTCCATCACTGCCGACAGTTGGAGCGGGACTTGTTGCCGGGGAATATGGATATGCTGCATACCCGAATCCCTGTGGGTACACAACAGATCCGTTCTCCCCATAAATTCCCTGGAAGAAAGATTGAGCAGGCACACAAAAGACCAAATTGGTTAGCAGAGCAGAGGTGAAGATAATGAAAGTGTTGAAGGCCATCAGACAGAGATAAGACGCATACAGGAGAAGTCATATCAACACCATCAGGATTTGTGTACCCCGTATACTCGCCCCATTCATGACCATTCCCATATCCTGAAATGTTCAGCATGTTATCCAATGCGTGCTCAAACACCATAATTGCGAAAAAGGAGGGAGATATGGGTCAAACCTCCAAAATAGTAGGGCTGATAAGCATTCGGAACATAACAGACTGAAGGGTCCAGAGCGTCGCTAGGGAGCAATGGTGTCAAAGATCGATCATAAGACGGAACTTGACCATTCGAATCTACAGCTGCATACTGGTAAACTGCAGTCTGCTGCAGATAACAACATAATAACGCAACATGTGAACAGTAGACAACAGAACAAAAACTGCAGATATAGACACAAAATCAACTGCTTCCTACGTTCTTAGTCGGCTCAGGGATCTCCAGAGCCTTCGCTTGTGAGTCCAATGACAGTTTCTGCAGCAAATCGGTAGCTTCTACGAGAAACACAGTGAAGGAAACCAACAACTTTCTCTGCCATAGATATGACGCAAAATTCAACCATGATTTACACCAAATACCATCAAAATTGAGACGGGAGAATTCGGAAACCAACATTTCGTGCCAAGCAACCAATTTTCCTAATGGGAATAAACAATTTCATCGACAGAATTAGATAGGAACACAAGAAGCAAAAGCCTTAGCATGGCTTAACCGCACGGCAAATTGATTGAAATGAAAATCTTAGAAACCTAAACACAAGATAGGAACACAGAAAATCTTATCGACCAAATAAAGATCAAATAGAACCTAGTAACCTAATAAATCTACGCAAAACCAAAAGAATTGAAGAGTCGGGCACAAATCGAATTACAGCGAAACGAGAGAACCCGGCTCGATTCAAGATCCAAACTCTCAGAGAACCCAGATCGAGAGAGAGTAGAAAACATCGAAACAAAGTAAGCCCATATCGAGAAACATGAGAAGAAGGATACGATCCGCGGGAGGAGCGATGGTAGCCATTCGAAGAAACTTGGGTACGGAATGGAGATTTGATAGATCCTTCTCGGATAGGCGATGCGACCAAGAGACGAGGAGGGATAGGAGAATCTGAAAAGCCCTAACCCAAATCAGAAAAACCCAGATCGAATCTAGGGTTTAAGGGATAAATCGAGAAGGAAAAGAGATTTGGGTCTAATGGCCGCAGCCGCCAAGGGAGGAGAGGAGGGGTTTTCTTCGGGGAAGAGGAAAAGGCCAATAAGCGTGCACGTCGAGTGATTCAAATAGCTCCACGAGCTCACTTTCCTAATTTCTTTACTTTGTATTTTTAGGGTTTTCTTTACAGAAAATTACTTACTGCCTAAGAAATTCCCATTTCTTAGAAAATCTCTATGCCGGTTGATTATTCCCAAATTTAGGACAAAACAAATAATATATATATATATATATAAGAAAAAAAAATGTAAAAATATACGTGGGTTCTATGTCACGAAAAATTGTGTCCTCTGAAAGTCTGATAACATGTTATCAGTCCCAATTCAATTCATATATTCATATGTGACGGTTTTCCTTTTATTGGTAAGTATAGTTTTTTATTGATTGTTTTAAAAAACATCACGTTTTTTTTCTTTCCCTTTAACAAAAAAATTATTGAGACAACTATCTGAAACTCTAACAAAGTAGATTCGGAAAATCTAAATGCGCATATAACATAATAATTATAATATATAAAAATACAAAAAAAAAAAAAGGAAAATAAAAAGCGGTGCACAAAAAAGGAAAAACAAGGCAACAAAAGAAAAAAGGAAAAATAAAAAGTCAATGGTCAATGGATTTTAATTCATAAAACGGAAATATCCGAAAGCAAAATGGGCCCAAGGAGATCAATAGGCCCATTAACAGAAACAGGCTCGACCCGGAAAAGGATCCAGAATCCGATTTACCTTTCTAAAGTTCTAGACTGTTCTAATATAAAAACAAAACGAAATCAAATCCAACGGTCACGATTTGACGGAAGCTTCAAGAGCTAAGAGACCGTTTGGCCTTTATATTAAAACTTCGACCGAAAAAAAAAAAAACAAATCTTCATTTCTTTTAAGGGGAACGAGGCAGATAAACCTACTTCTATCCTCCGCTACCTTATCCGGAAAAACCCCTTCCGGCGAAAAACCCTAGTTCTTCCTCCGAGTCTCCGCCCTTCTCCGGCAAGGTTCGTGCCCATTTCGTATGCTGAGCTCCTCTGCAGTATATGTCGTACAATGTATATATGCGCGTGTGCTCGTAAATTGTCGGTTGTTTGGTTCGATGGTAAACGTTGAGACGGGAAAAGGCATCCTTTTAGCGCACTGGCTATATGGGCATCTTAAAATCTGTGTTTTATTTGTCGATGAGTGTTTTCTGAGTTTGTTCAAGGTTTCTCTTGGAAGCTTGATTATGAAAATTGAAAATGCGCTCCCTTTGTGTGTTTTTATCTTTTCTCGTTGCACTGTTTGATTTTAGTGTGGTAATCTCTTACTTTGTGCTGTTTCAATTGTGCATATGAGAACAATTCACATTGACTTGAAAGATGAGGTTTTGTACATGAAACGGGTATGGGTCTGTGTGTTATATAACGCTTTTCCGTTTTAAAAATGTTTTTTTTTTCTGCTGTTGAATTCCTCAGTGTGTGAGCTGAAGATGGCGTCAACTTTCACTGCCACGTCTTCCCTCGGTTCCATGATAGCTCCCAATGGCCACATATTGGATAAGAAACTATCTTCTTCGAGCTCATTCGGGAGGAGACAGAACGTGGCCCCCAGAAGAGTCCGATCTGCTGTGGTATGCGCAGCCAAGGAGTTGCACTTCAACAAGGATGGGACTACTATAAAGAAACTTCAAGTGAGGAGTTTTATGTTTCAATCATGGAAAATTGTTCTCTTTGAGTTCTGTTCCATGTGCTAATGGTTTGTGTGGTGTTTGATTCGGGTGGTGTAATAAGACTGGTGTCAACAAGCTGGCAGACCTTGTCGGGGTCACACTTGGTCCAAAAGGGCGAAATGTTGTTCTTGAGAGCAAGTATGGGTCACCCAAAATCGTTAATGATGGTGTCACTGTTGCTAGGGAGGTATGAATGTTTTGCCCCCCTGACATGGTGTTTCTCTTTGTTCATAGACTCAAACAAGTATTCTTTTTTGTAGGTTGAGTTGGAGGATCCAGTTGAGAACATTGGTGCTAAGCTGGTGAGACAAGCAGCAGCCAAAACCAATGACTTGGCTGGTGATGGTACAACTACATCTGTTGTCCTTGCTCAAGGTTTCATTGCTGAGGGTGTCAAGGTCTGTATAGTCTTGTTTTGTCTTGCCTTCTTCTGTAGAATTCAAAAGAAGATTATGCTGATCTTAAGAATGGAACTGTTCAGGTGGTAGCTGCTGGTGCAAACCCTGTATTGATCACTAGAGGCATTGAGAAAACAACTAAGGCTTTGGTCAGCGAGCTCAAGAACATGTCCAAGGAGGTAAGAATATGTAGATATGTCTTTATCTGTCCAACTCATTGGAAGGTTCTGTAATAGCAAAGGGTTCTGAAAGATGTATCTTACTGCTACAGGTTGAAGACAGTGAGCTCTCAGATGTTGCAGCGGTTAGTGCAGGGAACAACCACGAAGTTGGTAACATGATTGCTGAAGCAATGAGCAAAGTAGGCCGGAAGGGTGTGGTGACTCTTGAGGAGGGGAGAAGTGCTGACAACAATCTCTATGTCGTGGAAGGGATGCAATTTGATCGCGGTTACATCTCCCCATACTTTGTAACAGACAGCGAGAAAATGTCAGCTGAGTACGAGAATTGCAAGGTACTGGATTCATATAATCGACTCATTAAAATGTTATGTTGGCGAACATGTTATTCATTTCGAGGCAGGCTATTGTGTTCTAATGTGTTTGTGTTGGTTGCAGTTGCTTCTCGTAGACAAGAAAATTACAAATGCAAGGGATCTTGTAGGAGTTCTAGAGGATGCCATTAGAGGCAGCTACCCGATCCTGATAATTGCAGAGGACATTGAACAAGAAGCTTTGGCAACTCTTGTCGTTAACAAGCTTAGGGGAACGTTGAAGATTGCCGCTCTCAAAGCTCCTGGATTTGGTGAGCGGAAGAGTCAATACCTTGATGATATTGCCATTCTGACTGGAGGTAAGTAAATGTCTGTATATTGATATCGAGTTCGGTGTATGTATTCATCTCAGCCAACCTCTTTCCATTTGTGTTGCAGCTACTGTAATCAGAGAGGAAGTTGGTCTTTCTCTAGACAAAGCTGGAAAAGAAGTTCTGGGTAATGCATCAAAGGTTGTGCTCACCAAGGAGAGTACAACCATTGTGGGTGATGGAAGCACTCAGGATGCAGTCAGCAAGCGTGTGGTCCAGATTAAGAATCTCATTGAGGTATATTTTTTTGCTAATGGAACATTCTAGCATAATGCACACCCATGCCATGATCTTTAGTGTCTCGGTAATAGCTTTTCCGGGTGCATAAACATGGTTATATATTTGTGCAGCAAGCTGAGCAAGACTACGAGAAGGAAAAACTCAACGAGAGAATTGCAAAGCTATCTGGTGGAGTAGCTGTGATTCAGGTAAAACCCGTTAACCACAAAGCTCATAGATTTATCCCTTTTGTTCGGTTCCCATAACATAGGAACAAGTTTAGCGATGATGCTCACTAGAGATGTTGCAACTTTGCTTTAAAAGGTCGGAGCACAGACTGAGACAGAGCTCAAGGAAAAGAAACTGAGAGTTGAAGATGCTCTTAACGCTACAAAGGTGAGCTTATTATTGTTTAGGAGCTTTTTGTGTATTTCTTTACATCCTCGGAATTTATCTGACTAAGAACTTTTTTATTAATCTTTAAGGCTGCTGTTGAGGAAGGTATTGTTGTTGGTGGTGGTTGTACTCTTCTTCGGCTTTCATCCAAGGTTGATGCCATTAAGGACACTCTTGAAAATGATGAAGAAAAGGTTAGTAGCCAACCCTTTAGATTTATAACCATAACTTGTAAAACTTCTGAGATCTCTGACAGGATTTTCTCGGGATTTGCCTTTTGTAGGTTGGAGCAGACATCGTCAAAAGAGCATTGAGTTACCCTCTGAAATTGATCGCCAAAAACGCTGGTGTCAACGGAAGCGTGGTCAGCGAGAAGGTAACATTAACATTAACATAACAGAAACTATCCTGACTTGTTCAACTTGACTCCGGTCAGATTCTTGACAAGCTCCATTACTATCGCATTTTAGGTACTTTCCAATGATAACCCGAGATTCGGATACAATGCCGCAACTGGAAAGTACGAGGATCTTATGTCTGCAGGCATCATTGACCCGACAAAGGTGAGTTTCCCATGAAAGACTTGCTGTCTCCATTACAAAGATTCTTGATTCTGGATTGATTTCTCTTCTTGGATTCATTCAGGTTGTCCGATGTTGTTTGGAACATGCGGCCTCGGTTGCAAAGACATTCTTGATGTCCGACTGTGTTGTGGTTGAGATCAAGGAGCCAGAGCCAGTTCCCGTCGGCAATCCGATGGACAACTCAGGTTAAGTTCAGACAACTAAACTATTACACGACACTGCCTGCATGTTTTTTCGGTCAAATCCAAATGTTGAATCTTCTCTGTGTTCCTTTGTTCTGGATTCAGGGTATCCGTACTGAGATGAATGCAGACCGGAGGAGTGGGTTGAAGACAAGACATAGGAGAATATTCCGGAGGAGAATAGCTCTCCGGGATAACGGATTCATTTAAGCTTGCCAGTGCGAGTGTAATGATTTTGAACCCAAGATTGTGTTGCGATCGAATCGAAATTTGGAATCTTTTCAATAAGATGTTTGTCCTTTCGCCATCCATATGATTTCTTCAAACATAAGTTTGAAAACCCACTTGAATTTCTCCAACTCTGTTGCTGGAACAGAGCTAAGGGGAGGGAATTCTCAAGACGGCTTTCTGGAAAAGAAATCAGCAAGCATAATTCTCTCACACAACAAAGCTCTAAGGGTCTCTCTTCAAATTAGCCAGTTTTTGTCTGTCTTGGCTCTCTCAAGAAACAGCCCTTTGCAGGGAACAGCCTGATAACTTCCCAGCTTCCAGTTCTCCACATGGTTCTGATACTTGGTGGATGACAAATTCCCTGCTTTTGCCCCAGGTGAGCTTTCAGGTGAAGTTCCCGTGACCTATTCTCAAGAAACCGGGATCCTTGAGTTAGGTTTTAAAAAAAAAACAATTCCTCGGAACTTAAACTACTTCAACAAACAAGAACATTTGGATCTCCGGGATAAACCAGCTCGCGGGTGGATTCTCATCGTTTCTCTCCAACATCAGCACCCGTCTTCAGTTTCCGAGCTTGAGAAACAAGTCCTTAACCGGATCCGTTGCTCCATACATCTCCGCCCTGACCCAGCTGCAAACACTAGTGTCTTTCAACAAGTTCTTTGCCAATAACCCTGTTGAGAATGGCAACCTGGCTGGAATGATTTGAACTCCATTAACATACTCAGCAGCTGCAGATTTATTCACATTCCTTGCGTAGTTCAGTGGGCTGAGCTGATAGTGAAATGGAACAAAGCAAACAAAGCCATGAGATACACTCTTTGCTGGACCTGTCAGATAATATGCTTTCAGTTGGAATCAAGAACCTTGAAAGCATGGCCCTTTCAGACAACATCTGCAATCTCTTTCAAGGCTGCAACTCACAACTTTGGATCTAACCGAATGTTTGGCAACACAGAACAACATAAGTTTGCTTTCTCTGCATCGCTGATTTCCAACTTCAGAATTAACTGATGAAATCTATAAACAATCAAAGGCAAAGAGCTGTTAAATCCTTTTTGGATTACTGGTTAAAAATGGGGCATATATAACCAACACCCTTTTTTTTCCTCACAAAGATGAGTTGCTCTACTTTGGGTTGGAACAGATATAAGCAAGATTTCAGATGGAAGAAGCTGCAGAACTAGAGAATGATGCAGATGCTAATGATGGATATAAAACCTTTTCGCTTCAGGATCGGAATGGAAGACGAACTTCATTAAGTGTGGATGGAGAAACAAACAAAACGGAAGACAATACTTTGACATTCTTACACAAGAAAAAGAATGCAGATTTTCTGAATCTAAAATCGTCAGGTGAGTGATTGCAGACTGGCTGAAGAACACAGATGCAGATTCTATATGTACCTCCTTGAATATGGAACCCAACGTTGGATCAACAAAATGAACAGAGCCACCTTCGGACTATCCCCCTCCAAAACTGAGATGATTGATCACAGGATAACACAAACACAACTTTTTCCACCTTGATAGCCGATATCTTCTTCTTCACTGCAAGCATAAGAGGATTCATTACACAATGAGAACAACAAATTTCCAGTACAATAAATGCAAAGCAGGCAAGCTTGGATGCATAAAATCAAAGTTCTTCCTTCAGTAGAGAATGAAATTAACATAAACTACGACCCACCAAGGCTCAAATTCTCGGATCTCAGCAATCTCCTTCCCTATCAAATCCACCCACTGTACCTTCTTCTTCTTCTTCTCCCTCTCGGTCTCACCCGAATCCGCCTTTCTTAGACAGCTCTTGAGAACCTTACCAGCATCTTGACCTTCCTCTTCCTTTCCATCTACCCTACTGTCTTCTCTAAACTCATTTCCATGACCATCCACATGATCATTGCCTTCATGGGTATCATCTAGATGATCATCATTAGCCGAAACAACCGTTGTGGACGATACGTGAGGCGTGTTGTCCAACTTCAGAGAACCTGCCGTGTATATGTGAGGAGATGGCTTACAGAAACAGATGAAAGGACACTGGATCTTACACAGCAAAACCCTCATCAAAACATATGTTGGGTCTGGGAAACAGCTGATGATCATCAACGAGAACCCACTCTTATCCTCAAAGTTCACAACTTTTATAGCCCATTGGTGTGCCCAGATGGAAGAAAGCCAGAATCTTCGAACAAAAGAACCAAAGAAACAGTTTGATGTCAAGATTAGAACAAGAACCCCCAGCGAGACCCAACAAGGGTTTTGAAGAAGAGACTGTGATATATACGCCTCTCTCTCTCTCTCTCTCTCTCTCTCTCTCTCTCTCTCTCTCTCTAACAGAATCCTGAAACCTTAGACAAAACACTGATCAGACAAGGAAACAGACAAAACGCAGAGCCCGCGCAATGCTAATTACAACAATCAGGCACGGACGGAGGATTGTGGAGAAAAGAAATCGAAAGGCAGATACTTTTTTCTGGTTTTGGGAGAGAGACGGAGAGAGCAGGAAGAGAGAGAAAAGGGAACCGAACCTTTTGTTTTTTCACCCTTGTCCCTTGAAGAAAAGAAGAAGAAGAAGGTAATGATGAATTTGTACAGTCTTGTTAATTTTCCCTTCTTTGCTTGTTTCTCTCGAGATTTGACAAGAACCAACCAAGATTACACCAAAAAAAAAAGGAATCTTTTCGAAATGGCTCCAAAAAGGCAAAGTTTTTTCAACTTGAAAGGTAACTGTCCGCCTTGATTCCCTCTATGATTCAAATAAAATCAAATTGAAAAAACGTTTCCTTCTTTAATATTGGTTTAGATAACAGTATTATCATATAAATGTTGTTCAGATTTCAACTTACTTCATCTTCAAATAGGCAAAAGAACTCATGGTTCAAGAGAAAATTACAATGACCATATCTTATAACCATATATTATGGTGGATAATATCGATATGTTAACTACGTATTACTACTTACTATATGTCTATAGCCATATACATCCAAGTATGGTTAAATGACCCCTGCGTGATCCATGCTTAGTATTTCGACATTAACCTCGCCCTTTCTTAATCAAACAATAATATATAATTATGATCAGCCTTTCAAAGGAGTGCAGTGTAATGATTAAACGGCCTTTTTGTTTTGTCTTTAGCTTTGTCCGATGACTTAGACAAACAGGAAATCATGTTCTGTCGGCACCAAAAATCATTAGTATAAAAGTGGGGAAATAGCTGATATACCCTCTTGTTGCTATTTGTACTTCTGATGATACCCTCAAAACAAAAAATTAAACAAAAAACACTCTTTCACATGTCAAAGACACAAACACCCTCAAATATTTATGAAAAGACCAAAAACCCTTCTTTTTTTTAATTTAAAAAATTCAAAATAAAAAAATAAAAGTAACAACTTCATTATCTTCTCTCGTGGTTCTTCTCTCTCTCCTACCTTTCACCATTTTTATTCTCTCTCTAAAAAAATCACAGATTTTTATTGTTAAATCTCAATTTTCCTTCAGTTTTCTTTAAAAAATTTCGTTTTCTCTTTAAATCTTAAACTAGATTTGAGATTCAAAGAAGAAAAAATGACGATAACAAAGAACGTAACTTCAAAATCATCTTTATTTTATTTCACTTTTATCATCTTCATCCGTTCCCTCTCTTATTTTCATTTTTTTTTCAATTTTTCTTTCGTTCTCTCTCTCAAAATCGTCGAACTCTCCTCCCTCTCTCGTCGATTTGTGCCTTAAATCTCGATTTCTCTCATAAATTTCGTTTACCCATCAAAATCTTAGGTTACATCAGAGATTGAAAGAAGAAGTAACGACGAGAGCAAAGAACATGATTCAAGTTCATCTTCCTCGTAATCTTCGAACGAGAATGAGAATTGTATGGTAATTAAATTTTGATTTTTTTTCAGATTTGTTTGATTTTAGATTTCTTTCAATTGAATTGAAGGTGGCTTCGAGATTGATCGATAAAAGTATTAAAGTTTTGGATATTTTTGAAAATTTCGAGATTTTGAAATAAAATGTTGTGTTTGTGGTCAAAATTGAGTGAAATTGATGAATTTCGATCACATGAGGATTCGAAGGATAAGGTCACACGGTCAGACCATAAAGCATTTGAGAAAGTCAGGACTGGATACATTACGGAGTCCAAGTTTCGAGAAAGAGCTTTTGTCACACGGAATATGGATTACAAATATTGTAAGTTTATACGGTCACATGGTCACACGGTCACATGATCACACAGTCACATAGTCACATGGTCACACGGTCACACGGTCACACGGTCACACGGTCACACGGTCACATGGTCACAATGTCACACAGTGATATCTGGATAATATTGCTGACATATGTTATGTCATCTCGTTCCGACGGCGTGTCTCTTGGGTGGATCAAAATCTTTATCTGATGGTGATGTACTCGACATTTAGTATATGGAGGGACTACCGCAAAATGATAACGATTGTGAATATAATGTTTTTGCAATCAACTATGTTGAAACGATTTATAGAGGTAAAGAACATACGTTGTGCCCCTTGATATGCGACGACAACGTCATCCTGATCCGTGAGCAGGTGATGGCTACAATATTTATCCGTGGTAAAGTTCAGAGTGTTAACTTTTATTTTACCAAGTGCTTTGTTTATTTTGTTTTGAACCCTAATTATGATTTTTTTTTGTTTGTTTGATAGCATGAACTTTTATTTTCGGTTTTTATTTATTAAAAATATAAATTTATTTATATTTTAGAGAAAAATCTGGGTAGAAATTGTTGTTGAGAAAATTTTGGACTTAAAACGTTGAAGGGAACATATATACGGCTGAATTCAAAGTGGAGGAAAAAAACACCTTACAAAAAAAACTGCATTTTTCGATGATTTTATGTGAAAGTGGAGTACACCAAAATATGTTGAATTTTGTTAATAAAAAATCTGAATTTTTTAATATTTTACAGAAAATATTAGGTGAAAAATATTGTAGATAAAATTTGAAGTTAAAAATTGAGAGAAAAAAATATAGAGTTGAAGAATTATATAGGGTTGAATATTCAAACTGGATCCCACATTAAAAATAAAAATAGAAATAATAAGTGTGGACCCCAGAAACATAAAAATCTGTTGAAATTCTGACTAGTTCTTCATGTGGACCCCACAGTAAATTTCGGTCACAATGGGTCACAGTCGGTCACAACCTTCGATCTATACGATTTTTATTAATTTAATCACTCTACAATGTTACACGTCTCTCATAAACCTATTTTATATTGTTTCAAACATTAAAATGTTGAAGGGAACATATATACGGCTGAATTCAAAGTGGAGGAAAAAAACACCTAAAAAAAACTGCATTTTTCGATGATTTTATGTGAAAATGGAGTACAACAAAATATGTTGAATTTTGTTAATAAAAAATCTGAATTTTTTAATATTTTACAGAAAATATTAGGTGAAAAATATTGTAGATAAAATTTGAAGTTAAAAATTGGGAGAAAAAAATATAGATTTGAAGAATTATATAGGGTTGAATATTTAAACTGGACCCCACATTAAAAATAAAAATAGAAATAATAATTGTGGACCCCAGAAACATAAAAATCTGTTGAAATTCTGACTAGTTCTTCATGTGGACCCCACAGTAAATTTTGGTCACAATGGGTCACAGTCGGTCACAACCGGTCACAACCTTCGATCCATGCGATTTTTATTAATTTAATCACTCTACAATGTTACACGTCTCTCATAAACCTATTTTATATTGTTTCGAACATTAAAATATAGTTTTTACTATTTTTATGTTTCAAAGTTGTTATTCCAAATGTATTCCTATATGTTTCATAATGTTTTATGAGTAACTTTGATAAATTTGGTATATTTCATTTACAAACCCCTTAAAATATTTTGAAAATTTTTCATACACGCTATATATTTGATATATAGACTCTGATAAACCATCCCAAAGTTTAAAAACTGAATTTTGACCTAGATTTATCAATACATTTCGGTCACAGGTCACAGTCGGTCACAATGGTCACACAGTGCAAAATTGCACTTCGGTCACATGATCACAGGCTGGTCACAATGGGTCACAACGATGACTCATATGAGTCAACTTATTTAGTGTGTAATAAGAGTCACATATATGCTAAAATAAATAGTAATTATTGGGTAACTATATTTACTCAGAATTATTTTAATACATTATTATACAAAAAATTTTATACATTATTGTACAAACACAATATAACATTATTATACAAATATTTTTGGACATTATTATACAAATTTTTTTAACACATTATTACACAAAATAAAGTACACCATTATTAAATAAATTTTGTCTCTTCATTCCAAATTAGGCGTTCTCTCCGACATTGTCGATGTTAATGTTTCCTTTGAATAATTAATGATGTACTGTATTGATATAATAATGTGTTCATAAATAAGTTCAGATACAAATTAGGCGTTCTCGCCGACAAGTTCATATATAAATTCATATACAAAATAATCAAAAACAAAAAATTAAAGTTCATAATTTAGGATTTTACGAAACAAATAAAAGGGAGTCATAGTTAATGTCCAAACACAAAAAATAAGTCACTTGGTAAAAAAAAAATTCACGTTTTTTTCGTCACCTTGCCATGAACAAATATTGTGGCTGCCAACTACTCATGAATCATGGAGACATTATCGCACATATCAAGGGACATAACGTTTGTTGTTTACCAAGATAAATTGCATCAATATACTTTATTGCAAAAATACCACATTCACAACCGTTATCATTTTGCGGTTTCTCTCTCCTCCTGTTGTAGACGTTCTCCTACCATTCACGTAACACTTTGTCAATATACGATGTTAGGCTTTAAAGACCATGTGACTATGTGACTATGTGACCATGAGACCGTGTGACCACGTGACCATGGGACCGTGTGACCATATGACCTTATCACCCTAATGATCTATGTCAATCATTATCCTAATGGCTCGTGACCCATATGACTATGTGCCCGTATGTAACCTTTATGACCTATCTATTGTGATCCGTATTATTGTTGTAATCCATGAACGATATGCACATTGTTACCTTTGTGCTCTATATGTCCACTTTGACTATTGTGATAGATAACTGTGTGATCTATGACTCAATTATATTCTAAAAACACTTAAACACAGATTTGATATGGATCTATGACAAAGCTTAGTAAATAATTAAAAAAATATATACAAAAAAACGTTAAAACCATCAATATTCATAAAAAGACGGGGATTTTCGACTGCCGCTTATATATTTCTAAGTTTCTGTTTGATTTCATACAGATTTTGCTATGATTTTGTCAAAATTTGAGGAAAAAATCCCAATTTCAGAGGAGAGAGAAAATAATGTAGAGAGAGAAAGCTTCAATCGAAAGAGAAGAATGGAGGAGAGAGAAATCCTAGTTTTGAGGAGAGAGAATACTGATTTTTATTTTAAAAAATAAATATAAAATAATATTATAAGGTTATTTTGGTCAATGTACATTTGAGAGGGTATTTTGGAAGTAAATTTTTTTTTTGGATAGGAGGA